ACTATAGTCGACTATTAGTCGATAGTCGATAATAGCCGACCGATAACCGACCGTAACCGACCGAACCCATCCCTAGTTATAATGCTGAATCTTTTCAAAACTCGGCTTTTGATATTGTTAGATAGTTTAATCAAAAAGTCATGAAGTTTGTTACGAATTGGCTTTAGTAACCGAAAATTTAAAATCATAATTGTGTAGAGAAGTTTCTTATAATATTATATGTAAAGTTTTATTGTAAGTTGTAACAACAAATTATCTAAAAAATCCGTACTAGCAATTTTTATTATAATACCTTATATAGACTTGATTATTTAGCATATGAAATGCTCCAATGAAACATGCATGATCTTTCCCAACAACTCGACAACCGCAAGAGCAGTGCAATGACTAAGGGCATTCTCAAACGCCTTAATCAATTGGTCAAAAAGTGTCGGCGAATAAATTTTACGAAAAAATAATTATAGTTTTGCACGATTATGATTATGAGAAAATCACATCGAGGTTGAGGCTTGAGAACGCCATAAATCAGGTATGAATCGAAATGGCGATAATAAGGTTTCAGTGTGACAATATTGGGAACAATCGGATAGTGTAAAACGGTGGAAAACTCTAGGACAGAAAAAAAAAAAGAATTAGCAGGTGTTAGCAATATCTAAAAGCGCAATGTAAATATTTGTGATTATTCATCTTTCGGTGTGCCCGAAAGGGCTAAAGATCATAATAAAGAAACGTTTATATGGTACGAAGATACATATATATAAATATAATTCGTATTGTATTATATAAATTCGAATGGTACGATACAGTACACCACTTATAGTAATACAATAAACGATTAGAGCCTTTGGCAGAATGCAAAGTAATCTGTCATAGATAATTCGACCTCTAAATTTCATTTTATTTTGCCACACCTATCACACCTATGCAATGTAAAAAGTCGAACTCTCTTTATATCGATCCTTTTTTATAAAGAGCCTACTCTATAATAAACTTTTTTAACAAATTTATTATAGAGTTCGGTATAGGAACATAATAAATTACTTCTATAATAAAATTTTAAAAATTTTTATTATAAGAATTGTCAGTTCATTATAGAAAGTTAACTGTATACGATTATTTTTTTTTCTTTTTATTCATACTTTAGCATAAAAATAAAAAAATAAAAGAAGAGTCGCAAAACTATTGCCGTAATCACAAGAAATTCGATTAATGTAAAAAACTACTTTGATTCAGCATGTGTATAATGGAATTAACAATACTTTTAATCCGTATGCGTGTTGTAAAACTAATAGTGCTTTGATCCGTATGTATGTTGTGGAACTAATAATACTTTGATCTTTATGCGTAAAATAAAATTAATAATGATAAAAAAATACTTTGATCAGTATCTGTAAAGTGGAATTAATAACATCTTGATCCGTGTGTGTATAATAGATTTAGTAATGGCTTGATCTGTATGTATGTTGTGGAACTAATAATACTTTGATCCGTATGCGTAAAATAAAATTAATAACGGTAATACTTTGATCCATATCTGTATAATAGTGAAATTATTAACACCTCGTTTATAAATATATATATATATATATATATATAGTTTATGATTAAAAGTTCAATGATAGATTTTCCCTTATATATCCACATTATCCGGCAGCTTACTATGATTTATCTTCCCAATAATTTTATTATTAGGCAGAAACAGTATTGAAATTTGGACTATGTCCAATAAAAATTTCGTTTGGACATGGACATATGGACATATAAAATTTTATATGTCCAAATTTGTCCAAATAAAATTTTATATATGAGTGTCGCTAAAAGAAAACCCGAAAATTTAAATATAATCATATTTAAATTTTCGGGTTTTCTTTTAGCGACACTCATATCCAAATTCGCCTAATTGCCAACAGTGGGTAGAAACGAAAGTTTAAGATAGTTTAAAAAAGTTAAACTATTGCCCCTGCCCAATAAATTGACAGAATAAGCTGGTCAGGTGAGTTCATATTCACAATAAAAACGTGCTGATTGGCTAAGATTTAATATTCGCATTTCGCACTATAAGTCTTTAGCAAAATTGCCATAAAGATTACTTCCATTAATTATGTGCTTGTGCACGATTTCGATCACTAGAAATTGCATCTCAGGAGATGCTTGAAACCGCTAAAATTAATTCTAATTGGACGTAATAACTACTTCAAATCTGTTTCTCACTGCCTTAACAATCCCAAATCAACTTAGATCTATTTTTACTTACGATGCCAATAAGCCTTACAACACTTAATATATCGTACCATATTTTTTCTTTGTACTTAATAATTATTAACACTCAAAAAGTAATTTATTCCATAATAAACCTACCAATAATCTTATTAATAAAGCTAAGAATTTATCTTATTATAAATCTTTACTACAAATACTAGCTCCTGAACCATATTAAACATCTACATTATATTTCATTACAATATAATTTCATTACTTTCACGATTCTTATAAGCCCGTGGGTAAAGGAAAACGAAATTACTGGCTAATTACAAATAATTTTTGCCGCATATATTGTCAATTGAAGCTGCATATACGACCACACCAATTAAATCATTGATTATCTCTACGTAACTAACGTTACTTTGTGTTTAATTTTAATACTAGTATAGTGTATAAAAAAAATATCAACTTAATTATATAAAAAATGAACAAATAGTGAACAAATTCATAAACTTAACATTAATCATATCATGAATTCTAGAATTCATTGCTACAGTTAAATAAGATGCATACAGTATAATTCCGTTCATTCCCAAAAATGAAAACGAAAATTCGTTCTTATTTTATCTTTTTGGGCACTAATCACATATATAAGTACATGCGTACGTCTTACATACCGGTACATAAAAGATGAATATATAGGCAAAGCTTAGATACATAGATTTTTACAAATGATATATATGTGAAGTCAATTAAAAAGTACTATTGATAAAATATTATTGGTTCAATATAATTTATTCTAATTGTCGTACAAAAAAGAATCTTATTTTAAATTACATACACTTAAGCTCAATATTAAAGACATAATTGTAATATGTTCTTTTCTATATTACCTAACATATTTTTTTTTAACATCTTTTTACATATCATAGATAAAAATTTCGGTATATGAAAGCGTTAGGTGCTAACATGAGAAATGTTTTTACAGATTTTTCTAAGTTAAATAATTTATAAATCTACAAAAATTGCCGATTTTCCGATTGTGCCGAATTTAGAAAATTTTAAATATAACTCGATTTTGCCAAAATTATGTCATTTAAGGTTTTAATAATTAAAGACATTTCTGGGATTTTTGTCCCAACATTTCTTGTATAGTTCAATATATTGTAGGGGCGTGTTTTTTGCTGAAATTTCTCTAAATCCATCCAATACTTTCAAAACAATTTCCGGCGAAGTCAGTTGTTTGAATGGTGGTTGACCGCTTGAGATCTCCCAAAGAATAACTCCAAGACTGAAAATGTCGGATTTTCTATCATATTTTAAGTCCTTGAAACATTGGGGATCTATATATGCTGCCATTCCTTTAATTTCTGCGCACAAGGATGTTTAATCTGCTCCGACATACCAAAATCTATGATCTTAATTTGTTTATTATAGACGAGAATGTTTTTGGAGTTCTACTAAAAAAATGATAAATTTTTAATTTAAGTAATTGAAATCATACGTAAATAAAATAGATATATGCTTACTAAGTCACCATGAACTATATTTTTAGTATGTAAAAACCAAAGTCCTTGTGCAGTTTCCTCAGCCATACGAAATTTATCAATCAATTGTAGATTTTTGAAATTTTCTCTTAAATAATCCCGTAAATCATTATCAGCGTACTGTAAAACCATAAAATAATGTTCTTTTGAAGGGTCTATTTTGTGATAGTTTAGTATTCGTTAGCCAGAATTGAATATTGTAACCAGGTACTCCAAGGCCTCTCTCAACGTGATTGTTTTTTTGAAATTCATGGTGTGTGTTTAAAATTTGGCCAATCAGTGTAACTCTTGAAAAAATGCCCTTTTTTTCATGAACTCGCTTGATCGGCTAAGCTATTTACCACGAAAAATTGATCAACATAATGACGTCGATTTTTTTATAGCAAATTCAAATAATAAAAACACACGTGTTTTTACGTAATTTAACTCATCAGGGAAGCTGTTCAGTAGCGACATACCTTTTGTAATTCCATAGAAGGTAACGATGTTGGGGTGACCCTGAGCTTTTCGCAAAATTTCGACCTTATATGAAATTCAAATAATTAGTGATAAGATACAATTAGGAATAATACTAGGTTTAGACACTATGTTAGATGCCCTACTATGTTAACATTCTTGATATCTATACAACATACGAACCAACCGCATCAAAAAGGTAACTCTAAACCTCGTTCCGCTTTAGCCAACCACTATGTTAGGGGGACGTCTAAAGCGGAGATAAATTACGTGATCAACCGCCAATCAAATTTATGGTTGGGGTCACTTTAGGATAGGGTTAGGATAGGTTTTAGGTAGTTATATATATGCAAAATTGTCTTCCCGACATTTTTAATTAACCTATCCAAGGTAGGTTTAGGCTGTCGTTTTTTGTATTTTTCAAGTTTTTCGCTTTTCTTTCTTCTGGCGATCATCTAAATTCTATAATTTGATTGGCAATTGATCACGTGATTTATCTCCGATTTAGACTACCCTATTTTGGGAACGTTAAAGCCAGGTGCGTTAGAATTACTTTTTTGATGCAGTTAGGGTTACGTTTTTGATGCAGTAATGGTTAGTGGTTTATGTAAATATCAAGAAGATAATTTATGCAACATGTAGATCATTTCCAAGTTTATACCAAACGCACCTGGCTTTAACGGACCCCCCTATTTTAGGGTTTCATCATGTCGTAAAAAAATTATCTCCTATGATATTTATGGCCTAAATACATTTAAGTCCAGATTAACTATTTGGAACATAATCACTTGTTTTAAACAGGTGAAACAACATTTTAAACGGCTTTTTTTAAGACCTCAGATACAATAAATAAGTTTTTATTACCTCGTTGTCGAAATTTTTATTTTGTGTACCATCCCTCAGGCGCTTAAGAGCTTTCGTACTTTTGCAACATTCACATTCGGATTTATAAATCACTCCCGAACCACCACTATTGATTTCTACAACTTTATCAAAATCAAAAATACAATCATGCATCTCGATTCTGGTCATAGATCAATAAATAGTGATAAAAAATGTGATTGCAAGAAAAAACCTAAAGCTTGCTTCTAACAGATATGAAATATGTGATGAACTAAGAGGTCAACCATTAAATTTAGGTGAATCAAAGGGCATGGTAATTTTTTTTTAATTCATCTAAAGTGAGTTTTTCACACATTTTTAAACAATTTTTTTGTATCATCTAATTCATGTAATTTTTGTGAAACACTCCCTAAAAGAGAAATTAACGACAATTCAAACTTGCAAAGGGATTTATTTCTGCGGATATGCCTTACACTGTTGAAAATCAAAGATTCACGATTGGCGTTTTATCATTACACATATATGTAAACAAAGTTGCTGTACTACATATGTACCATATTACAAAAACACCAGCATCGCCATAATCAAGGGGGCAGTCACACAATTTCCCATCCACTTAGTTTTTATCGGATCTGATGTTTTTCTATCTGTATAATCAACTCTCACAATATTTATGATGCGATTTATTAACTCTAGGTAGAACAAAATTTTTTATAACTTTTTATAACGAACTTTTTCAACGAACTTTCTTATAACGAACTTTTCCATCGAAATTTCTTATAATGATTTTTTCAACGAACTTTTTTATAATGAACTTTTCAATTATTTTAACAAACTTTAACTCTTATAACGAACTTTCTCAATGAATTATTTTTACAATGAAAGTTTTTAACAAACTTTTTTTATACTGAACTTTTTCAACAACTTTTTTTATACCGAACTTTTCCAACAAACTTTTTTATATGAGTTTTTATAACTTTCTTAGAACAAATTTTTTAAAGTATTTTATTATAGTATTTGGTGTAGAAACAGTAAATTACTCTATAAGAAACTTTAAAAATTTTATTATAACAGTTAGTTCACTGTAAAGAAATTTGACTATATTTCTATATTTGTACAGCAAAAACAAACTGAAAATAAATTCAAACTTTAAGAAAAAACATGATATAACTTTTTTTTTTAGAAGTAAATATTTTTACTAGCTTTGTTTGCAAAAATTTAATATATACATGGTTCACTATTACTTAATTGGCATTGTTCATTGGTATTAATTTTATCCATTACCTACACTTTGGAAATGTATTGCGATATTATTCAAAATTCATATATATTTTACCGTTTGCTATAATTCGGCAGTCAAAATTTTTTTTTTAATATTGGTTAAAACTAGTAACATTTCTATTTAAAAAAAAAATAAAAATAAAAAAATTGTAAACCAAATTCTCCCCAAAATAGTGAAAAACTTAAAAAATTTGAAGACTTGCCAAAGGGTTTTAGGTCAGAAAATCATGTGACTGCCTTCTCAATTATTGGTTATGCTGGTGCTTTTCTGTATTACTGTGAAATAACGATCATGGGCATTATTTTGAGGTCTGGCCTGAATTAAGCTTAATTTAAGCCAAAATTTGTAATTTCACCCTGTGCATTATTTTGCAACCAGGGTTAAATTACCATCCAAAAATTTTTCAATTGTATAATATTATATGAATTATGATGTAATTATTTTTTATATTAAATAAAAAATTTTTATTGATATGAAAGTGATTAAAACATAATGAAGAAGTGTGAATGTTGTTATGTTATAAAGCCAAAAGAGGTATTTAAAAAAGGAAAAATGGAAATACAAAAGAGGCAAAAACATGTCTTGATTGTCAAACACAAATATCTTCAAAAATTATGTTAAAATATAACCAAAAATAGGAAGAAAATATAGCACAAAATCAAAGAAACGCAATAGTACCAAAAAATATTGTAGATCACATACTTGAGACACTTTCAATAGATTATGATTTAAGCGACTTTTTGTTTGAAAAAAGATTTTTTATAATATTAGATCAACTAGTAAATTCTATTGATAT